ATATATATTTGGGATACATGGAAATTCAAATCATCATTCAAAATCAACTAAGGACACACACAAACGAAAAAACCAACTCGTAGCACCTTCCAATTTCAAACTGGAAGACGTTTGTATGCTTATAAGAAGTTGCCCTTTTTATAGCATATATAAAGCCAATTTACAGGAAACAAGGAAGAGCGGATAGCTCTCATGGTAAATCAATGAAGCCTAATATTAATTTAAGAATTACCCAATTCACCCTCTGGAAGGTTTTTTCAGGTATTAAGGTCCCGTCTTACCCTCACCCATGTGAGCTTCGCAAAGCATAGCCAGTTATAAGTACAAATAAATAAAGGATGAGGATAGCAGTAGATTGACAAGTAGAGTGTAGTCTTAACTATGACAAATCTTCGAAAGGATACAAAAGATTCAAGTTGCTATCCAATAAGTGTAATTAAATGGTTGAAAAGTTCCTTCTCCAACCTGATACTCCACTAAGTATGGCTATTACATTTCGATGTATCTCGGGGTGTAATGCTTTTACATTCATCATATTAATTCCAGTTCCTACTTTGCTCTTTTATGATCTCGACTAATGATTCAATTGCCATGTAAAGCGTGGAAGGTTCTACCAACTACCATAACCCTCAAAAAAGAGTTTAAGTTCTATGCACTAAGGATAAATAAATTTACACAACCAAATCACTTAAAAGGCACTTGCAGATAACTCTAGTTAATAACATTGATTGATAACCTACAAGTCACGGTAAGTAAACTGTCATAACAAGTTATTTTACAAGGATGGTGTAAGAAAATCTTTATAAGACATCTAAATTCTTAAAGGAGTTTTCAAGCTAATTAATACACAATTACTACCAAAATTTCAAACTAATAAATAAATAAAAAGCGATAATTACAAGAGCAACGACTGAAACGACGCCGTATAAGATCGCGAGGACATGGAAAGTACGGTCTTGCCAAACCGTGGATTCGTTCACCTCCTCCCACCAATTTATTGCCTCATGCAAGCGGTACGCCACCGCCGCCGCGGACGTCGACGGGTCCACCGCCGTCTCTACCCGACCCATCGCCGGAGATCCGAAATTAGACACCAAAGTAAAGTTAAAAAAAAAGGAAATTCTTTGAGAATTTGTTTTAATAAAGTCTTTCCTTTTTCAGAAAATTGTTGTCTAAAACGGCCGGCGAGAAGAGAGCGTGTATTAAAGACGTGTACGACGACGTCCCGTGATCGTACTTTTTAGGATTTTGAATATTATTAAGAAATGTTGTACTACGAGATTTAAAGAGAATGATGAGGGTAATATTGTCCGAAACGTACAAATCAGGTGAAAAACTTAGGACAGCTAAAGTAATGAATCGGCACAATTGTTTTGCAACAGATTACACGTGGGTTGACAACGGAGAGGATGTGCTTTTAGTTTTTTTTTTCTTTTTTTTTTTCAAAAGGATGTGCTTTAAGATTACTAGCAAAAATTGTTATGGATAATTGTTCATAATAATTAAAATTAATAACTTAAATTTAAAATAAATAATCTTTTACAACAGGTTAAATAATTTTAGATTTTGTCTATAAGTTAAATTCCTATATCATTGTTGTTTGTATCAAAATCAATTAGACATGTGTCTTCTACTTAAAAAGTTTGTGTTTAATTAATTACAAAAGGTTATATGCTTTTGTCATTTAATTGTGATTAACTATCGGAGTTGATTGAGTTATTTTTTTTTTTTCTTTTTCATTCGGTTAACCATTTCCTAAATTGAAAAGAAGGGACCAAAAAAAAGGAAAAACAAGGCCTCGACCATGAAAAGAACTCGTCTGAAAATTATTTTTCTGTTATAAAACAATAAAAGAAGAAGAAAAGTATTGCAGGGAAAAGTGGGGAGAGAGAATTTTTATTAATATTTGGGATGAATTACAATAGAATAGAACCCTCTATTTATAGGGAGAGGGTGACTTAGCCACCAAGCAATGAACCCTAGAATCTCTCTAAATATAGACATTCACCATAAATAGAACTTTATTTATAACACTCCCCCTTGAATGTCTATTCGACAGATAATGTGCCTCGTTAAAACCTTAACTAAAATAAAACTCAGTGGGAAAAAAATTCTAGTAAAGGAAAAAGAGTACACTTATCTAACAATACGTCTTTTGGTTGCCTCGTTAAAAACCTTGCAAGGAAAACCCAGTGGGACAAAACCTTGTAAGGAAAAAAGAGTACAACGCGTATTAACTCCCCCTGATTAGAGCATCAATTCACATCCTTAAGCATTTGCATTTCAATCTTGTGCACCATCTTCAAAAGATCGTTGGTAGTTATTTGATAAACAATATCAGCCATATTAACTTCAACGAATTTGTTTCACCTTGAAATCATCATCCTTGATAGAGATGAATTGTCTTCATATGATCTTGTTGGAATCGTCAGTTCAATATCTTCACATAGAGGTGAAAAATCTTGCTATCATATTATCATGCATATAATTATAGCAAGATATATTTGTGCACAAATTGCACTGAGGATGTAGTACTTCATGACCATGAATTTTATATGCTTTAAGCAATTTAAATCCTTCAAGGATTGTTAAGTCATATAAGCCATATAATAGACTTTAGATGCATATCAAGTTTTCATGTCATGCTAGACATATAAGATATCGAAAACTGATTGCACATACCATTGACTTTATACTTTCAAGTGTTTGAACTACATGTTGAAAACTACATGTCTTTCATATGAAACCAATTCTATTCGAATTGTTTCTTCAGACTTAAGATCCTTATATATATATTTAGCGCTATCATAGATGTCGTCGACAAACATTTTATATCAGTTTCAATATTTTTTTCATAAAGACATAACATAGAGATCTCTTCATTCATATATTCAGGTACCTGAATCTTTTATGAGATTTTATGAAGTGTTATGTCATGTGATCTTCTAGATCACTTGCCCTCCTTTATTATGATCATTTTGATCATTTGCTCATCTTCTTTATCAAGAAGTTTTATTTGAAACCGATTTGTCTATATGCTTTAAGCGTACCATAGACTTTGTCCTTCTAGGACTTAATAGGAGCATTTGCAATGAGAGTATAGTTACTTTATTTGGGTCAGCAAATGCGTCTGGCATGCTTTGCAATAAATTGCACATGAATTATCCTTTTCTGAACTTCGAGTTCATATTATTTTACTCGGGGATCTAGATGTATAAATGATAATTCATTCCATGTAACTTTTTCTCAACTGTTGTATCTTGTCTCCCCCTCATGTTAGAAAAACTAATTTGTTTCCTCAACTTTGAGAACCCATCTTTGTGCGTTATGGTGTTAATCAAAATATACACCGCACATCAATAATAATAAGATGGAATTATTTGATTCCTGACCCTGAACCACTTGTGAGGGGAGAATTTAATATACTTTCGTATATAACCTATATCAAACTGATATAGATAACTTTGTTCTCATAAGCAATAGTTTAGCTATTAAGTGGAGGCACTCAATAAATCATTTTGCTAAACCAACTGTGATGTAAACCAACTTATCAAGAAGAACTATCTTGAATAAAAAATCTGGAAATTATGCTCTATATTAAATTATTGAGCAAGTTACCTCGCAAAAACCAGGTTGCGGGTCAATAATAATTGCACATGTAACCATCTCATAGATGCATCTTATGTGATATACATGGCAGGTGAATGAGCCCATATTCACCTTTGATATTTCCAGCATTCATGGGATTCAATCCCAATTTTAATTGTCTATTAATCAATAAGAACAAGCAATGTAAGAGAATTCATAAAGAACTTTCTAGTTCTTCAATATTTACCCATGTGAATTATCTTTTATTTTTGCACATCATACTTGAATTAACATGGCTAAACCAATTATGCCAACTAGATAAATTATCAATATTGATAAACTTCAGGTTTACACCATGATGTGTGCAATGAATAAACTCCAAATTTATTATGATATGGGTTTTTATATCAATAAATATCCCTTCATTGTGGTATTCTTTTGTTTATGTAGTACAAATTGGAGAATAAAGCGGGTAGCTTTTCACATACATATTACCCCGCTACAAGTTGTAGTAATAGAAGATATTAAATCTTTCCTTTATTTATAGTCTCAATATAATCAACCGTTTTCGCGTATACTTTGGAAACTGAATAAGTTTCTTTGAGACTTACTACAACACAACACCTTATTGGTAATTAATTGTGTTTCTCCAAAATAGTATAATTGGCTCTTGCAGAGTTCTCAATTAATTTTGTAGTACCACATATTCATCAACACCCATATGGTGAATATCTCTTTTAAAGAGAAAGTTATACCATTATGGTTATGGTCAAAATTATATGCAAGTTTTGTTTCTTGCATTACCGTTGTCTTTTAACAATCACAATGCCAAAATATTTTGGCGTACAATAGGTACGTGACCAATGACCATTCATGCCATAATAATGACATTGATTTCTTATATCATCTCAAACCTCCTTCTAGAGGTGAGTGTGGTATATTCACTACCACTAGCACGTTCATATTCTTCCAAGAATGAATATGTATTCATAAATCAGATGTTGTCACATTCACATCATGAATGGACCATGATCATCTATATGTGATTTATAAAATCTCATGTCAAATCGATGACAAATATTACTTTCAGAGAGTGAAGAATTATTTTGAGAATCCTTATTATTCTCATTATCACAATGATGACGATTATAGTTTCGTCTATTGCCACGTCCACATCCATTGATACCTTCATGGTAATAATTTTGTCTTCTTTCAGACTTATCACATATTGCTATCACATTCTTTTAAGGGAATGAGAATGGAGCAAATTCAATGGGAGGGGTTTTCAATTCTTTGCCCACAATCATACATGAATTTGATCATGGCGAGGCATAGGAATTTTACCACTTCAGGTGATTATAATTTCTTACAAACTCCATTAGAGTTATAATCAAACTTTGTTGTCTTTGCTTGTATTTAAAATCAAAGTACAGAATAAAAGAAAAAAATACGGTAAAATACTTACCTTAAATCCAGAATTTAATCATGAAGGAAGTTTATGGAATAATTGACAATCATTATGCTCAATCCCAAAGCTTCTACTCAATGTTAGAGTCTCGTGCTGATAACGTGTTATGAAACAATAAAAGAAGAAGAAAAGTATTGCAGGGAAAAGTGGGGAGAGAGAATTCTTATTAATATTTGGGATGAATTACAATAGAATAGAACCCTCTATTTATAGGGAGATGTTGACCTAGCCACCAAGCAATGAACCCTAGAATCTCTCTAAATATAGACATTTACCATAAATAGAACTCTATTTATAACATTTTCCAAAAAACTTCTGATTTTTGTATCATTCAAGTGGGGAATCGGTATATGGGAGAACTATACAAAAATGAGATGAAAATACTGACAGGAGCATTTCTAGTTGTCTTAAGAGGGATATTGTAATTTATTAGAGAATTACTACATATATATTGACATACAAAATGCTTAAATTATCAACTACGAAATTATAAACAAAATTTAGAACAATGTGACTTGCGGCGCAAATTCGGAAATATTGGTATCAAACATCAACAGAAAAAAAAAAAAAAAAAAAAAAAAANTGTACATGTTAGGGTTATAATTGCAATAACTTTGCAATAATAACCCATGTGTGCATAATTACCTTATTTCACCAGAAAATAGCTTTTTATATTTTATAATATTAAGTAATTATTTAAAATCATTTTTATGCACCAAAAATATTTTTTATCATTTATTAGCTAATTTTATAAATTATTTTATCAATTAATTGGGTATTTATCAAATAGCCTCTTTAAATTTATTACAATTTCGGACCTAGCCCAAAATATTACCCCAGCCCAATTAAAATACGCAAGCCCAATTTCTATCCAACCCGCCCATCACTAGATCAAATCCTGGCCGTTGATCTCAAAAGATCAACGGTCCAGGATCAATTACCATTTTTAATTACCCCCTAACACCCCTAAACCCTGTCCATTTTTCTAATTCCGACGCCTCAGTTTCCCTTTCCTCCTCTCTTCTCTCTCAGACACTCCCCTAACCCAGCCGCTGTCACCAGAAAACTACCTGTTCCATGGGGTTCCTCTGTGATTTCAGGCCCCTGCCGGCCTCTTACCTCTTCTGGTTGTTCGATTTTGTTGTTATATGAAGGAATCTCGAAGAGATTCAACTCAGATTTGTTCAAAACCCTTTTATGAACCTACCAATGGTCATCTCTGTTTGTGAGTACTATTATCTTCGTGTTTATGGCTCGAATCTA